TAACCCTGTAAATTGTGGAATTGCTCCTTTGCCGCAGAGAAGCTTGAAGGAGATTTCTGCCCCTGAGAAGAAATCTGAGAGTCAATAGGGAAGGAAGGATTTTGTTAACCTGCAAAGGAGGTGACAAATAAGAAAACTTCTAGGAAATTCTGTGGCAGTCTGAGAGCAGGCTCAAGGCACAGGGCCTCTGGGAATTCAGGTCCATACTTCTCCTCTCATGTTGTTGGAGTGAGCCTGCCTTTGTGCGTTCTGAGGAGAGCCAAGCTGAGAACTGGCTTTATGACGTCCTGGGTAGAGTGAGTGACACTGAAATGCAAAGCATCTGTAATGAAGACAGTGTAGGTGCTGCACTGGATGAGGGCAACAGAGAAAGAGGAAGTGATGTGATTAAAGTATGTTATATACAAATCTGAAATACCAAGACCAATCCTTTTGGAACAACGAATATACACTAAAAGAGAGAAAGGATGGGAAGGTAAAACAGATCCTGTCTAGGGTGGGTACCAGTGGGAGGGAGAGGATAAATGGACAGGGTGAACGAGGGTGAGTACAGTTGGTTTACTTTGCATTCGTGTATGAAAAGAGAACAACGGAACCTATTGAAATAGTTCTGGGAAAGAGGAGATTGGTGGAGGGATGAATCTAACGAGGGTATATTGTAATATGTAATGTGACAATGTATCTCCTGGACAATCGATGCGTGCAGATAGTAAAAAGATGTCCTTGGTTGATGCTGCCATGGAGCAGATGGCAGATGCCATGAACACGCTTTTGTGGGAACATACTCTGAACTCAGGGGTCATAAAATTGTCACAAACACATTCTGGCGAAATACAAGTCTTTTTTAAATTTTGTTTTTAGTAGCCCGAGGGGATTTCATTGTGATAATTCCATGGTGTGTACAGTGTGCTTTGAACAAGTTCAATCCCAGATAGAAATCTAAGGGAAAAAATTTAAGAACAAAAACTATAAACAAGCCACAAGAATAGGACTCGGGAGAAATGACGAAAGTGCAGTTAGGTTCCAAGGAGTTCAGACATTAGAAATTTCCGAATATAAACTCAGTGCACTAAGAGCACTAAGAGGATTTGAACGAGTAAAGGAGGTAATTAAAAGTATGAGCAGTGAGAGGAAAAATATTAAAAATACACTTGACAAAAAAACTACCAGCACTCAAGAATCATCATGAAATGGAGGGTGAAGAGCTGGAGAAATTAAATTGGCACTGGCGAGGAGATGAACAAGTGGCTGAACAAATGGCTCAGAGACATGGAGGAGAAGGTGACCTATGTCTGTCAGAAGTCCAGGAGGACAGAATATTGCAAAGGGGAAACTCAATGAGCAAACACAGTGGCTGAAAAGTTTCTGAAACCGATGAAAGACATTCACCCTTAGTTTCTGAAGCTTGACAAAGCGGTTAGAAAACGAAAACGGTCACAAACATGGATGTGAAGTTATTACACACCAGCAATAAAAAGAAATGAAAAATGGTGGCCAATTATACACAGAGGAATGTGACCAAGCACACAAGAGCCTCCTTGGGGGCAAAGGCGGAAGAAGGAGGGAGGATAGAGTCAGGTGTGGAGAACTAACTGTCTGGACCAGTTTCAGAAGAAAACTGGACAGTTTTAAAAATTATTGACTTATACTAAAGGACATTTTGAAATGTGTTGTCTAGATGAAAGAAAAGGTGTAAGCTGGACAGAGCAGGTGAAGAAAGCAACTGGCGAGTGTGTGGGTGAGCAGAGCCCACATTGCTGTGCGGAAGCACCACGTGAGGGAGGAGTTAAAGAACAGAACCACAGGACAACAAGGCCAGGCAGGGGAGGATAACAGGAGCTAAAGGTCATCTTGAGGCTGAATTATTTTGGAGGGACCATGACAGCAATTAATCTTAAATGCTGTTAACCATTCATAGCCTTCTAGTAGCTTCTAGACCCAACTCCAGCTCGGATCTCTCCCCTTACCTCAAGACTCACCCATCCATGTATGTTCTTTCAACTCTGTATCTAAAAAGCACCTCAGATTTAACATGACCCCCCAATCTTTTTGTTCCATTCTGCCTCCTTTCAGTTAATGTCAACCCCCTTTCCAGGCTGTGAGCTAAAGTCATGGGGCCCATCTTCCCCCAAAGGGGAAGGACTCTGATCCACTTTTGTTATTTTGCTGTTTATTCCTGGATGCTGACTATGGATCAGAAACTATTTTAGGTTCTGGAGATGGAGCAATAAATAAAATTAATAATACTCTCATGGATTTTACATTTTATTACAAATGAGACATTTAAAAAGAAAAAAAAACTATAATGTGACATATTAAAAAAAAAAAGAAAACCTAGGACAAGGGACCCAGTAATTTGAGAGTACAATGGCAAATAGGATATTCACCAGAAAATGCCATGAGAAGCTGACACTTGAGCAGGATCCCCCTGTTGGAAGCCAAGCAGCAGCCTTTTGGAGAAGGGTTGCAGAATACCCCAGCCTGTCAAAAACAGAAAACAAATACAAAGTACATGCACAATGGTAACAAAGAAATCCATTTAGATCAGTAATAACAACAAATGTAAGTGGGCTAAATTCACCAGTTAAAAAATTAAGGATTGGCAGATTCAATTTTAAAGTAGTTTATGTACCATTTTGAAAAGATCACAGGACATAAGAAGGGTATGAAAGACATAAAAGGCAAACAATGCAAGGAATGATGGTGTGTCTAAAGTAATAGCACCCAAAACACACTAAAGGCAACTGTGAAGCAAACATTCTATATAGCATTAAAATCAAGCAAAAATAAAAACCAAGCTCCCATCTCACAACAGTATACTGTTTAAGAATATATGCATATGCCACAAACACAAAAGGAAATGACTAACAGACATCTCATTTAGGTTATCTGGAGGTAGTGGCTGGGGGTGGAGCTTGTGATCGGAGAATTTTATAAAAGTGATTTCAATGCTATTGGTAAGGTTTTAAAATATGTTAAGCTGGAAAGTGAGTTCATGGGTATTTGACATAATTTCAGCATATGATTCCATGTCAAAATCATTTGTAATTAAAGAAGAGCCCTGTCCCTCAGTTCATGTAACACTTAACTTTCAGAGCTGTCCAACACAGTAAGACACTGTGGAAGCCGAGGTCAGAGAGCACCTTAGGGAAGGAGGGCACTGCTGATGGCAAGGCAACTTCTTGCCATTCAAGCATCCTCTTAGGGCAGGTAAGACATTCTTGAGTTCAGCAGAACCTCAAATAAGAAAGTGACTGACACTCAATTTTGCCCTCTGAATATAACAAGTCCCTTCCAGGAGACTTCCTTGTATTAAATTGAATGATGGATACAGATACAGTAAATTGTAGATGCTCAAGGAACTTTATTAAAATCTGTTAGAAGGCAGACAGAGAACTTTCCAAAGAAAGTTCTTGGGGGTTTCCAAAACCCCCAAGGCAACATGCCCCATTCCTGCACTAGCCTGTTCTGTAGCTCTGGGACTGCTGTGCCCCATCATTCTTTGTATTACTCATCCCCTCCAGCCTCGTGTCCAGGACATAATGGACAGTCAGTCACCATTTGGGGAATGCTGGAAACCTGCTGGTGTTTTTGAAAGCAAATACAGATAACTCATATAAGCACTGCAAATGCAGACAATTTCAGCTCTTTCGCTGGGAGTGACCAATACAAACGGGATAATGTTTACTGCTACTGCTGCGCTTAACACAACTCAATTTCTTGCTGGCATATCCATATGCTGTGGCAGTGATTCCTCATTAACCGTGTCCTCTCACTTTGCAAATATCTCACCTGCTAACATTTCTGTTTACTTCTTTCAGATTAAGACAAGGTAAAAAAGAGCCAAAGTTGAATGGTGTAAATGGGATCCCTCCCCTTCAATCGTGTACACATTTATCATGAAAACTCAAGCAGGCTGCTCCCTTTTCTTTCTTGCTTGTCTTCTCTAGCGCCTGAAGGGATGAGGGATTAAGCAGGGAGTTTTACAAAACTCCTGAAGCTCTGCCAACCAACCCTGGGGTTTCTGGGATTATTCCTGGGGCAGGAAGCGCTCTCGCGCCCATCCATCCCAGGAGGGGGAAAGGCTAGGGCTGCTGACCCACAGGAAGGCTGCGCAGGCTGTCGCCTCAGGTCCAGCGCGCACTGGAGCGCGCAGCTTCCCTTGGTGCGGGAGCCAGAGCGGCCTTGGCGGGACCCCGAAGGCCAGCACTGCGCAGAGCCCAGCGCGCGCCTGTTCCAGCAAGGAGGTAGGCGGCGACCCAGGCCATTAGGGTGCCGCGGTCTCCGCGTGCGCGCTGCGATTTCCGGGGGATCCTGGAGCTCGGACTTCAGCGGGTTTGAGTCTTTAGTACTTCTCAGATGCAGCAGAGAGGCCCCGAGCACCCGACTCTGTCCACCATCAGGAAGCCCAGTGCGAGCGCTCGCCGGGTGGACGACTTGGAATCCCAGCAGAAACTGGGTGGCAGCTGGCGGCGCCAGTGCCTTCGGGAGGTGGCGCAGAGCGCGCGGGAAGCGCGGCGAGCCCTCTCCACCGGCGCGTAGTGCGCTGCTGAGCGCCGCGGAGTGCCTGGGTCCGGCGGGGAAGGAGCGACTCACAGCAACAGGTGCGGCCGGAAGCCACTCCAGGAACGAGGGACTGCGGCCAGGATCGCGAGCCGGTAAGGCGCAGACGGGGCTCCCCACCTGCAGGGCTGCAGCCGGCGGCGAGTCCCTCCCTGGCTTGGTGGCTTCGCCGCTGTCGGAGGCGCTCAGCCTGGGGACCTCTGTCTCTCTAGACCGCCGCCCCCGCGCGAGGAGGTCCAGCTCTGTGCTTGTATCCCCGCCTCCTCTCAGCAAGGCCCCTGCATAAAGACAGAGCCACCAGGGACGGTCCCTGGCGTCGCTCCTGCTGTCCTGCCTATTGGGGGAAGTCTCTGGCTGGGATCCCTGGCCATCCCAGGCTCCTGCTTTCACCCCACAGCTTGCTCCGCTGCCCCGCGTCGGGGGCGCCCCGGTGGGTGATGGAGCTGGCCACCGCGAACCTCAGCGAAGGGAACGAGAGCGCGCCCGAGGCCCCCGCCGCGGAGCCCAGGCAGCTCTTCGGCATCGGCGTGGACAACTTCATCACGCTCGTGGTGTTCGGCCTGATCTTCGCGCTTGGTGTGCTGGGCAACAGTCTGGTGATCACCGTGCTGGCGCGCAGCAAGCCCGGCAAACCACGCAGCACCACCAACCTGTTCATCCTCAACCTGAGCATCGCTGACCTGGCCTACCTGCTCTTCTGCATCCCCTTCCAGGCCACTGTGTATGCGCTGCCCACCTGGGTGCTGGGCGCCTTCATCTGCAAGTTCACCCACTACTTCTTCACGGTGTCCATGCTGGTCAGCATCTTCACCCTGGTCGCGATGTCTGTGGACCGCTATGTGGCCATCGTGCACTCGCGGCGCTCCTCCTCCCTGAGGGTGTCCCGCAACGCGCTGCTGGGCGTGGGCTTAATCTGGGCGCTGTCGATCGCCATGGCCTCGCCCGTGGCCTACCATCAGAGCCTTTTCCACCGGGACCTCAGCAACCAGACTTTCTGCTGGGATCAGTGGCCCAACAAGCGCCACAAGAAGGCCTACGTGGTGTGCACCTTTGTCTTTGGCTACCTGCTACCCCTGCTGCTCATCTGTTTCTGCTACGCCAAGGTGGGTGCGGAGCGCGCTGGCCAGAGTCTTGGAGGCAGGACGGAGGGACCACCGAATCAGTGTGGCTCTTCTGCCGCCGAGCTGTGGCTGTGCCCCCTTCTTAGTGTAGCATCACGGGTTCCCTCCACTCCGGTTTGCCCTCGCCTCTGCTTGCTCCCGCATGGTTTGGTGTGGGAACAAAGTTACTTGAAGTTTGACGGGTGCTGGGCAAGTTTGCGGTTCACGTCTGGAGGTCGGGTGAACGACCTCCTGCTCCGCTGCGGCCCTTAGCGATCCGCGGGTGCCCGTGCAGCGTGCGTGCTCCCCAAGCCTGCAGTTCAGCAGGTTGCGGTTACCAGTTCTGTTAAAGCAGCTTCTTACACCAGACCCGTAGGCTGCAGATTAATGCGAGGACAAAGGTAGGAGTTTCAGGGAGCTAGCGCTTCATCTGAGCGCGGCTGTCACCTGGATGGGTCCCCAATGTCCCCTCGCAGCTCTCAGCTGGGACCTGCCTGGTGGCTCTCTGCGCAGGGCTCTTCCCCAGCGCGCAATGGCCACTGTACATGCAGGCTTTTGGGAGACCAGGCTCTGTGAAGCAGCCACTCACGGGGACACCACTGTGGGGATTATTTTATACTGAAGTTTAGTTCTGTGAACCCAAGTGGGAAGTGGCTTATTTTCACAGAGGCTTGACCAGAGTCCACGAAGAAGTTTGGTTCGGAAGAACTGCAGCCGAGATGTTTCCTAGTGGGAACCGTTTTTAGAAGGTTTGGTGAGCAGCTTAAAGGACTCAGGTAGCAATCTAAATCCTTGCTCTGGAGAAGGGCAGCAAGGACTTGCAGTTGGTATGCTGTCCTTTCCTTGTCTTCATGGCGCCCATCAGAGCTCAGGAGCTCACAAACTCTGTCATTAATTACACAGGCTTTGAAGTTCATACTGATCAAAAGGCCTTAAACTCCTTTGGCACAAGTGATTTATGTTTGAGTGTCCAGAGTGTGTGTTTAATGGTCACGTTAAGGTGATTCTTAGAGCAAACTCCAGCACCCCCAATATCTTTTCTGAGGGCCATCATCCCCAGGGGAAAAAAAAAACAGAAGGAAATAAGACAAAACCCTGAAAATCAAATTCTGAAGTTTCCACCTAACTTTATGCTGTCCTGTCTCTCATTGTAATTTCCAAGGCTATCACAATAGACTGTGAATAACCACAGGAGATAGATCAGCAGTGGTTTATTTTATTCAATTTGTAAGGTATTTTTTTCTTAGCAAAAATGTTTACAACCAGCCACCTACTCTTTACCCTATCAATGCAGGTAATGATGTCTGTTTTGAAGGGCAGTATTTTTTGACTATTACCTGAAACAGTGGACAGCACCAAATGATACACATAAGAAGTGCAGTTGATGTAAGAGGCTTGGAAAACAGCTGCAATTGGCTGTTTGGAAATGGCTGCTTTGTTCCTTTTGTCTGCTGCAAATGCAGAGCAAAGGCCATTGTACATGCAGAGTTATCTGCTGTGTGCGGTATCTCTTTAATTTGCACAAGCACCCGTGGGTAGGAGGTATTTATTATCTCTGTTTTATCTACAAGGAAAAGGAGTTTTGGAGGTGTGAAGCAACTGACCAGACTATGAAACTGGTCAATAATTCAGGAGGGGACCTGGAGGGCAAGAGGCTTGGGAGTAAAGAGACTCTTAAAATATTTGGCTCTTAAATTCCTGATTCTTGCATTAGAACTGAGCACTTTCTTCCTTCATCTCCTGCAAGTCTTTAGGAAAACCACTATGTCTCAGGGAAGTGACAAGGCAAATTTTTGGGACTTAAGAGACTGTCATTTAAGAGTTTATAAAAGTCACACAGAGGGCAAAGTGTGAGTACTCTCAAACCTTAAACATTTAATGGACATATGGTCATTTGGATATTTTTCATACAGTAACAGCTTATGTCTAAGCATAAACTGGAAAGGTCTTTTCTGTCCTAAGGTAGTATTTACAGGTTTATTCCCAGATACAAACAGCTGGCAATGAGTTATTTCCTGTTGCTTTCCTTTGCTTCAGGCACTAAGAGCTAAGGGTACTCTTAGTTAACTGTCAGCTAAGGGTTTTGATACTCAGAGTTAGGTTCAGGACTGACTATCCTGATGGCCAACATGAAGTCACAGATGCCAAAGGTACCTGTGATTACAGTGTGTTTAGACTTACTAAGAGAACTGCATTCCAGACCTGCCCCTGCAAGTGTTGAGTGGGAGTGTTCTCTGCACCTGACAGTTCCTGGGAAAGTTACAGAACTGGAGGACCTGTCTCCATGGCCAGCCTCGTGCTCCCTCGGTGGCGCTCTTGTCCCCCCACCCCTGCTGCTTCCTTTGGCATGAGTCACTGTCTGGAACCCTCCTTGGTCTAACATGGAGACACATTCTTGTTGTGCCCATCCTGTCACATTTCTCCACATCCCAGGATATGCCCAGCATGCATTTGGCTTAGGTTTGAGCAGTTACCTTCCTCACATACTCCAAATTGTATGGAATGGCCAAGAAATGCCACCATAGCCACCATCTTTTAAAGAACTGTATCATGATCTATCATGATGCCATCCTCTGTCCTTTGATGACAGGACCTTACTCAGGACACATGGAGATGTATCACTGTGCTGAAGCCTGAGCTATTGAACACAAACAGCTAAGAAAAACACCTGTGAGGTTTTTCTCCACTGACCACTGGGTAGCACACAGTATTCCTAGGTGCTCTGAAGTTGCTGGGCTGTGATGCAACCTAATTTGTTGACCGTCACTAAGCTGGCTGCCTGCACCAATGCTCTTTTCTGACTTCATGTGGTGGTTTGCTCTCTGGCTACTCCTGTGTTTCTTGTCCTCAGTGGCCAGTGTCATCTGTGGTCTGCAGGGCAGGCTGCACTTACCAACTGCCCAGGCCTGCCCCTTCATGCAGGATTCTCCCCGTAGCCCTCGCCTTCCTCTTCAAAGACTTTGTTTGCTGCTACAGAAAAGCTCCTCTCTGTCTTCGCCTGGCATCCGATTTTGTACCCACTTACCCTCAGCCTATGAGGACTCATCTCAAATGCTCCCATAGCAAGCACAGGCTTGCCCTGCTGTACAGGATGCAAAACCACTTCAGGAGGCAAGAAGTGTTTTAGGGGCAGAGACGGTGAAGTTAGAAATTCACACCCTCTGCTGGCTGCTTTAGCTGCAAGGCTTTGGAGGGATGGGAGATAAATTTTGTGGTTTCTCAATTAGGACATGACTGATTGCCCCAGACTGCTGCTCCTAGCTGAACGGGCACAGGCTTCTGCAATAAGGCCAATTCGATTAAATTACTTCCCTGCTGCGGTGCTAGGGGGAAGCAGAGAAGTGGCTGGAGCTCGCTTCTGTCTCCCCAGAGATGCCAGCAGTCCACAGTACTCTGCAGCCTCAGCCATCCCTGCACTGACTTTGCTCCGGTTCTCCAGGGGGAGGCATGGAAACATGAACCCAGTGCG